TTGTGCTCTCTCTCTGTCACATAAATAAATAAAGTCTTTTAAAAATAAATAAATAAATAAATAAATAAATAAATAAATAAATAAATTTATTTCACTTTGGGCATGGAGCCCATTGTGCGGCTTGAACTCACAGCCCTGAGATCAAGACCTGAGCTGAGATCAAGAGTCGGACGATTAACTGACTCAGCCACCCGGGCGCCCCAATAAATTTCACTTTTTGAACTCCTCACTCTATTGTTCATCTTTTGTTATTTTCGTTGCTCACCAAGAGTGCCCATCATGCCATGGCACCACACGGCTAGCCCACACTCCTGATCCCACCACCATGCTCTCTGGCCTGCACACCCCAGGGCTCTCCACTTCCTAAGCTCATCACCTGCAGGACCCCACTTCGAGGCCCCACCCTCTCCTCTATGCATCACACCCAGAAAACAGGTAGACATACCTCACAATGCCTCTGGTTCCTACCCTTTTCCGCCAGGGCCATTGTGTGGTCTTTCAGCCCATCTGCCCACATTCTGCCCAGGAAGCTTTCTAAAATACCCATCTTGGGGCACCTGAGTGGCTCAGTTGGTTAAGCGTCTGCCTTCGGCTCAGGTCTTGATCTTGGGGTCCTGGGATTGAGCCCCACGTCGGGCTCCCTGCTCAGTGGGGAGTCTGCTTCCCCCTCTCCCTCTGCCCCTACCCCCCACTCATACTCTCTCTCTCAAATAGATAAAATCTTAAAAAAAAACAAAAACACCCACCTTGCCCTATCTCACCTGCCTAAAACCTCCAGAGGCTCCAAGGGCCTATGAGAAAAGCCCACACTCCTCAGCCTGGCACTCAAAATCCTTGGCATTGGGCCCTTGCAACTCCCATCTCCCCCTGCACAGCAGCCCACAGCAGGCCACCTCGCCCAGTCCCAGGGCACCGTTTGGCAACTAAAGCCACAGGCAAGGGTAGGCTTATGCTGCAGGGTTCCCTGCCTAGGGGAGCAAACAGGAGTGTAAGTGATTTATTGAGGGCCAGAGAAGGGCAGGGGACAAGATAAGACCAAGAGCACGCTGCAGCCTATTGGGATGGACCTTGAATGCTAGGCCCAGAGGTTTGGGCTTTCTGTGGGGCCATGGCAGCTGGGCCAGGGCTGGGGAGTAGGGAGCGGTCCAGCTGGGTCCGTGTTGCTGATTTTCTAAGGCAACATCCACAGTAGAGGTTTGGAATGGGAGGGGCCCGGTCTGGGGTGGGGATGTGGTAAGGGCTGGAGCAGGTATGGGCCGTGAAGAGGCAGTGCTGAGGGAAGGCTGAAGTTTCCAGTGGTGTGTGGATGGGTGGCTGTGGGGGCCAGCGTGCGAGTGTGTATTTGCCCAGATGTCCTTGCCAGGCTGCAGGCTCCACGGAAGGAAGGTCCAGCCCTCATCCTCAACTCCTTCCTCTGAGCCTCTGGAGCTGGAGGTGACTCCACCACCGCCCCCCCAGGAGATACCCCACCCTGTGGGGCCCCCAGGCTAGACAGAGACCCCTGTCCCACCCTGGACCAGCCCCTGTGCCCATACCTGGCTACCCAGTCCCCCCTGGTGCTGGTAGAGGGAGAACCTCTCTTTGGCAGACTCCTCGGCGGTGGGGCTGAGGGGCTTAGGGTCGGACAAGGACCGCTGCAGGGTCTTCATGGGGCGAGGCAGCGTCTGCTGGCGGAGAGCGCTGTCAGCCGTGAAGTGCTTCTGGGGACTCACGTGAGCCTTGTTCAGCCTCTCACTAGAAGCAAAGGAGGTGTCCAGGAGCCGGTGTGGGGACAGGGGTGAGACCGGTGAGTAGAGGACCTGGGGGGACTTGGGAGGCTGGCGGCTCACAAGCTGGGACAGGGACTCCGGGGGCAGCTGGGCCTGGTATCCAATCTCCAGGGGATCCGGCTTCTTTTTTTCGAATCTGCCCAGGGGCCCAGGGGTGACGATCTGGATGCCGGGCAGGTAGGGGCCGATGGCGGTCGGCCCTACCAGCTGTGGCCCAGCCACACCCTGGGCCTGCCCCTCGGGCTCCGTCTGGCAGGCCAGGCTCTCCCCACGCCCAGTCTTCTCTGGCGCCGAGATGTACCGGACAATCTCCACCTTGGGGTCGGTTGCGGCTGTGATGTGGATGGCCGGAGAGACCCTGGGCAGCTGGTCGGGCTCCGTCTGCACGGAGCAGTCAGTGATGGTCTGGATGCCCACGCTGCTCATGGCCTTCGCGGCAGCAGCCGCAGGGGATGACGAGGCAGCAGCATCGTGCCTGCTGTCGGAGCCGGAGTCCGAGTGGCGGGACAGACGGGACCGGCGGCGGCGCACAGGCTGCTCCCACTCAGCACTGTCCTCGTCGTCAGTCTGCACGCTGCAGTCGGCACTCCGCCGCGCCCGGCGCCGCCGGGTCAGGAGGTAGCGGCCCTCGCCCTCCTCGTCGTCCGTCTGCACGCTGCTGTCTGCGATCCTCCGGACCGCACAGGGCTCGGGGCCCGACTCCGGCTCGCAGGCATCCCGCAGGCGAGGCATGGAGTGCCGCTTCTTGATGCCGCTGCGGCCCGCCTCCCACGGCTCCTCAGTCTGCAGCGACATGTCCGAGGCCGAGCTGGGGAGGCCCCGATGCAGCCCGGGCTCCCGAGGCTGCCCAGGCCCCTCTGGCCCTGCCACAGCGATGAAGGCCGTGTGGCTCAGAGGGGGCCAGTACTGGCCGTTCTGAGCCAGCTCCGGGGCAGCTGGGGGAGGCCCCCGGCCAGGTGCCTCGCAGGCCACGGGGAAGGGGGCCTTCTGCCGCTGCTTCTGTTCCTCTAGCTGCTGCTGCAGCTGCTGCTGCAGCTGCTGGATCTGCTCCAGCTGCAGGCGCTGCTGTGCTAGCTGCTCGCGCTGCAGGGCGAACTGAGCCTGCCGTTCCTCCTGCTGCTGCTGCAGCACGTGGTGCTTGATGGTCTGCAGCTCCTGCAGCTCCCGCTGCACCAGCAGCTGCTCTTCCTCGCGGTGCCGCTGCAGCTCCACGCGCTCCCGCTCCAGCTCTTCCTGCAGCCGCAGCTGCCGCAGCTTCTCCAACTCCACCCGCTCCCGCTCCAGCTGCAGCAGCTGCTCCTGCTGCTTCCGCTGCCGCTCCTCCTGCGCGGCGTCCTCCTTCTCCAGCCCGGGCCGGCCAAGGGCCCCGCTGCCGCCCCCGGGAGCAGCATCTACGGGAGGCTTCTGGCCAGCCAGCGGCGCTGGGGCTGGGGCTGGGGCTGGGGCTGGGGCTGCTAGGGCCTCCTTGGCGGCAGCAGGGGTGGCTGTGGAGAGAGGCTCTTCCCGAACCGCCCCTGCAGGCAGCTCTGGCCTTGGTGGGCCCCCAGCCCCCGGGGCCTTGGCAGCAGCGGGCTTACCCAGGTAGACAGGACCCTCAGCAGGTGGAACACTGGAAGCAGTGGGGAATCTGCTTGGCGCAGGATATCGGTACAGCCCTGTGGGCCCAAGAGGTATCCGGGGGGCAATCACGGGCATGCGCGTCAGGCTGGTGAGTGGCACGGCTGTGACTCCGCCGGACACGTAAGGCCTGTACATGCCGCGGCGCACCATGGGCCGCAGTACCGAGGCGGGCTGGGTGGTTATGGGCAGTGTGGCAGCAATTGGAGTGTTGATGGTTGAGTAGATCATGCCGTCGGCGGCGCGCACGGTGGCTGTGGATGGCAGCAGCTGTCTGATTGCCGTTCCCTGGCCGACCGGAGGCCGGTACTGGGCCAGGTTCCCAGGACCTGGGTGGCCCTCTGGGAAGGTGGGGTTGCCAAGGAGGCCGGGTCTGAGGGGAGCCAGACCCTGGGGGGCGCTGAGCCCAGGCCCGGGCTGAGGCTGATACTGCATGAGGTCAGGGCCACCGCCACCGCTTCCATGCCGCCCTCCATACTGGTCCATGGAGTTGAGGGCAGCACACATGCGGCTGATCTCACGGGCGGTGGTGGCACTGTACTGGGCCAGGCTGGCTTCCTGGAAGCCAGCGGCATCTCCCCGCGGGCCATACCTGTGGTCTGAGTAGATGTTTGACACTGAACTGTAGCGCCGCATGGGAAGCGGGTGAGTCCAAACGTCCGTGGGATGACGCAGGTCTGTGTATGAGCCATACTGCAAGCCCTGCCCAAGGTAGCGTCCATCCACGAAGCCCAGGCTGTAGGAGTGCTTCAGCGAGCTGAGATCCACAGCGGAGTCTCGTCCAGGGCCCTGGAAGAGCTGCCCAATCCTGTGCGCATGGTAGTTGAGGCCAGCCTCAGCCAAATTGGTGTCAGACATGGAGGAGTATAGCCTGCCGTGGAGGCCCTGTGGGTAGGGCCTCTGCTCCTCGTGGGGCCCAGGACCCGCTACCCCCTGCGCCCGGTAGCTGGGGGGCTCAGGAGGCTCAGCGTCCCGGGGACTGTAGAAGGGGCCGCCGCTTTGGCCGGGTGGGGCAATGTCCGCCACACTCTTCTCAGGTGCGCTGGGCGTGGGGTGGAAGGTGCCCGTGCAGCTACTGCCAAAGGGCAACTTGTAGACCATGTCACAGCACGCCATCTGGCTCTCAGGCCTCATCCCGGTGAGGTCCAGGGCACCTGCGGGCTCCTCCGGGAGCAGTGTGGTCACAGTGCCTGCCGTGCCCTCTCCCATCTGCACCACCACTGTGTGTGGCTTCCTGGCACCGGGCATAGCGTGTGACCGCAGCTCTGCGGGGGCAGTCCGGTGGGGTTCAGCGCCCGGCTCTGGCACTGGACCTGATTTGAGGCCCACACTCTGGGCAGTGCCCATCTGAGTGATTAAAACATCCCTTCTGGCTAGAGGGGCTACCTGGTTGGGCAGGTTATACCTGGCAAACTTGGGCTCCCTAGGTCTTCCACGGGGCCCACCTCGGTACGGGGCTGTCTGGACAGCCTGCTCTACCTGCTTGACCTGGGCCAGACACACGGGGCTACCCGCACCCTGGCCAAAGTCAAGCCGGCTCTGGAAGGGGTCTCCATAGACCACAGGCTGCTTTTGCTGAGCCATGAGCACAGATGAGGCCATGGTGATGCTCATGGTGGTGGAGGTGCTGAGGAAGGCATGGGTCTGCTCCTGGGCGTTGAGGTTGATGACCAAAGGCTGCACAGCAGTCGACTGCCGTCCTGGGATTGGATCCAGGGCAAGGCCATACTTCCTTGCTTCCACGGCAAGAGAGGTCAGGTCCATGCCCTGGTCAGTAAGGATGATGGGTGTGGGCTTGACAGCTGTGCGAAGGTCTACCACGGCACTGCCCGGAGGTCTGGGGCCTGGCTCCACCCTAGACGTTCCAGGGACAGAGGAGATCCGGCACAGGGAGATGTTCTCAGCAGGGAGGGCGCCCCAGCCATATACTGCCAAGGGCCCGTCCGCACCAGCGCTGGGTGCCCGTGGGAAGCCAGGTGGCCCGGGCGGCTCTGGGGGCAGCTGGGACGCACTGGGAGGTGTCGTCTGGCTGTAGCTGTGGGTGGTGGGTGAACACACTGGGGAGGTGGAGGCACTAGCGTGTACCATTCTGGTCTGGCCGGAGGCGTCTGATGCTAAAGTGATGACCATAAAGGGGGCCTCCCGAGAGGACTGCTGCCACACCAGGCGAGGTGTGCTGGGTCGGTGTGGCGTTTGTGTCCCCTGAGCCACCATGGGTGCTGGGATCAGAGCACCAGGGCTCCGAGGCATGTCCAAGGCCGGGGTCGGGCTTGGCGTCTGTGTAGAGAACTCGGCTGTGGCCCTTGGGCCCAGCTTGCCAGGGGAGAACGTGGGACTCTCTGAGGGAGAAGATGGAGAGAGAGGTGGGCTGGAGCCCGTGAAGTAGGCATAGCCCCGGGAGGCCTTGTGGGGGCCGCTCTCCCCGTCACTCACACTCAGGGGCTTGTCTCTGGCAACCCGTCCACTGGCAGTGGGGCCGCTGAGGGCCGCGGGTAGCTCCTCAGTTTGGGACCCATAGTTTGCAGTGGCTGGGCTCTGTCCGTAGCTACGGCCTACAGAAGATGGTGAAGGGCTGCGCTCAGAGCCTGCTGGGGAGGTGGGAGTCACGTAACCTCGTGACAGGCTGGCGGGACAAGGAGCCACGGCTGTGGTGCCCGGGGTGCCAGGGCCCTGGGAGAAAGATACGCCTACCTCCTTGGAGGCAGAGCTGGGGGATGCAGGGGAGCTGTGAAGCTTGAGAGGGTCCTGAGGCTCCTTTGCAAAATGCTGAGTAACGCGGACATCAGGAATGACTCGGCCACCACTACTGTCTGAGGAGGTGGAGGTGGAGAAGGACACGGGGGCAGCGAGCTGGGTGGGACTGGTGCCAGGCGTGAGTGGGCCGCCATTCTGCTTCATTGGGTCCATGTACGCACTGTCGGCATTCAGAAACTGCTTCTCCTTCTTCTTGTCCTCGGCAAAGGCCAGGTCCCGGGAGGAGGCCTGCCGCATGCGGGCAATGCTCTGTGACGTCTGAAGGATCTCCTCGTACACGGCGGCCCCCAGGCTGGCCGGTGTGCCCTCGGGGGCAGGCTGCGCAGCCCGGCCATAGTCTTGGTCGGGGGTGTCCTGGTACTCAAAGGCGCCCTGGCTCCGGGGGCCGGTGGGCTGAGAGGGGCCGCCTGCCACCTGCCCCTGCTGCCGCTGGAGCAGCTCGGCCTTGCGCATCATCTCCTCATAGGCCTCTTCCGCGCTTTTGAGGGGCCGGCCCGCGCCGGGAGTGGCCGCGCTGCCCGAGGGCGTCTCAGTTGGCGAGTAGAGGGACATGAAGGTGGGCAGGTTGTACTCACTGCCCGACTTGTAGAGCCGGCTGGGGCCACCGTCCAGGGCTTCAGCCTCTGAGTCGAGGGAAGGGGAGGGCGAGTACTCGGAGCAGGAGGAGCGATGGAGCTCCTCCATCTCGGCCGCCTGCCTCAGCTCCTCCGTTGGGGAGGCATCCTCGATGGGTGACAGGTTGCTCGGGGGAGTCTTGGAGCGCTCACGCCGCCGCTGGGCCCGCAGCTCTTCCTTGTCTCGCCGCGTCTTGCGGGCAGTGCTGCGGATGCGTTGCTGCTCTACCTCCCGCATCTTCTCCTGCTCCCGCAGCAGCTCCTCCTCCTCCCGCAGCTCCTCCTCCTCCGAGGAGTCCTCGATGGTGGGCAGCAGGGGCCCGTGGGAGCGGTGCCGGGCCTTGCGCTGCTGCTTTGCTTCTTCCAGCCGCTGCCGTCGGCTGGGGCTGCTGTCGCTGTCCTCCTCCAGTGAGGACAGGGAGGTGGGAGAGGTGCCGGAAGTGTAGCTGGGCGTGGAGGCCGGCAGCGTGGAGGAGTGCTCCCCGCGGGAGCGGTCCTCAGGCGAGCCCGTCAGGCTCTCCATCTCCAGCTCGGGCTCCCGCTCCAGGCTGGGGTCAGGGCCTTGGCCCAGGTCCAGCTCGTGGCCATAGCTGCCCGTGCTGTTGAGCTCAATGGTCTTGAAGCGGCGCAGCCCCCCCTGCAGGGCCCCAGTGCTGTCGCCGGCCTCGGCTGGGCCTCCCTCAGGGAGCAGCTCCTCGTAGCCCGTGGTGGCATTGTGCGGCAGACGTCTCTTCGGCGGAGCCGCTGGGTCTTGGCTGGGCTCAGGCCGGGGCCTGGGGCCGCCCTTCTGGGCGCTAGGTTTGGCCAGGCCGTGGCCGGAGGCGGTGGCGTCCTCCTCTTCCAGGTTGTCTTCCTCGGCGCTCATCTCCAGTATCTGCCGTCGCATGAACTCCTCGTCAGTCAGTTCTGCGGCCCGGGCTGGGGGCTGGGGTGGGAGAGGGGACAAGCCACCCTCACTGCTGTCCTCCACGTAGTCGTGTCTCAGCTGGCTGCCGAAGTCGTCTGAGGACTCGGCTGTGTCCTGCTGCTCCCTCTGGTGCCCCCACTCCAGGGAGTCTTCCTCTTCCTCCAGGATATCCTCCAGCTCCTCGTCGGAGTCATAGGCCTCGGGCATGATGGACAAGGAGTGGGGCCTCCGCTTCTGCTCGTCCCTACGGCTCCTGGGCGGCTTGCTCGGCTCGCCCCTGGGGGCCGGGCCCTGGGCCTCCAGCGAAGGTCTCATGCTGCTCCCCACCTTGTGGAGCTCGGAGGGGCTGGGCGGGCGAGGCCCTGTCACCCCCGCGCTGTCCAGCTGCTCCACCTCCTGCTGTACGACGCCTGTGATCTCGCTCTGGGAGCTGGAGATGCCGTCGGAGGAGTAGCCTGTGTCGCTGAGGCTCTGTGGGCTCCGGGATGGGTCCTGAGAGTACGGCTTGCCCACCAGCTCCTGCAGCAGGGTGAGAAGCAGACACTTGCCTCCCTGTGGCAGACAGCTCGCTGGGGAAGCCCGAGGAAGGGGCCCTCCACTGCCCAGGGGATCATGGCCCACCGTCCTCCATTTCTCTGGCCTTGGAAACCCCAAGCACCCTCAAAGAGAAGTTTCTCAAAGAGAAACTTTATTAGATCAAATGGGAGCAAAACCCACCAAAGTATTCAACCACGTGCCAGACACAGGGCTAGCCTAGAACTCACAGGCCCACCAGGGCCTCATCCAGGCATCCCTTACCTCCTCCGCGGCCCCAAGGGGCCTGTCCCAGGCCTACGTCCCAGAGAACCAAGCCTTTCCCTAGACCGTCCCACCTGAGAGCTAGGGTCCCAGAAGTGAGTGAGACTGACCTCTGACTCCCCACCCCTGGGGGCTTCTGGAACGGCCCTGACGACAGGGGTGGCAGGTTCAGTCCTCCGGGGCCCTGTCTTTCCTTTGGGAGTCCCAGGGGGCAGGGTAGTCTCTGGAGGTGGTTTCGGCCCAGGCTCGGCTTTAGCTGGGATTCCTGTCTTCTTTTCCTGGGCACCACTCAGGGTCCTGCTGGGTTCAGAAGCCCTGAGGGGCTTAGCCTGGGGGCTGGCCTTGGTGGGCAGGGGACTGGCCTTGGCAGGCGGGGGGCCTGATGGCTGGGCCGGCCCCTGTGGCCCTTTCTGCTTCGGAGGGGCTGCTCCAGGTGCCCGGAGAGGGGCCCCTGCAGGGGGCTGTTGAGAGGTGGGCAGCGGCAGGGGGGTCGGCTCTCCCAGGCTTCCCTCTAGCAGCCGCTTAGTTTGGCAGTTCAGGCAGAGCCACTCGGTTTTCTGTAAGGAAATGGGAGGGGAGGGGGTTGATGAAAATCACAAAGACCCTAAAGTACTCAAAGAATGTTTCCATGACTATTTCTGTAATCGTAAGCAGGACAGCTTCTAAAGCATGACACCGAAGCAAGCTTTTTCACCTGACCAGAAAAGGAGACCTGCGGGGGAGGGGAGGCTACAGGTAGCCCGTGAGTCTGGGGAAGAGGGGGAACTGGGGCAGAGTCCAGCAGCCCAGAGCCCCTGCAAACCAGGAGTGGCCTCAGACCCCATCCTTCCCCACACCCTTCCTAAGTAAGGGCTGTGCTGGGAGGCTGCAGACTCCTGGGGCCAGGGGAGGCTGTCTGGGAGAAGCCCTGCTGGGAGGATGGGGCTGAGCAGTTCCCTCTGCCCACACCCCCCAGCCCAAGTCTCCCTGTCCAAGGTCAGCAAAGACCCTCAGGTGGAAGCCTCCTCCTGCCCCCAGGGCTCTGGACTATTCCTCCGATGGGGACTGTGTGCACTCCCCCTGCCGCACTGAGGCCAGGGGCCCTGCTTCCTCCAGAGCTGGGTGGGGACCGAACCCTCAACCATCAGTCCACCACTCTGAGGGTCATCCCCCCGTCAGGCTCAGTGCTGGGGGCTGGAGACACAGCCAGGACGAAGACAGACACCGGGGGTGCTGGCAGGAAGCGTTCCTGGAGTCCACAGCCCCAAACTGGTCATCCAAGTGTGACATGGATATCAGTGGTGAAGTTCCTAGAACACCAGAAACCAAGTCTGATTCCCCCAGCTCCAGCTGTCTGCACAGGGGTGAGGTCTGAGCATCCTAGGCCCTGAGGGGCTGATTCCTGTAGCCGGTCAGGGGCTGATAGGGCCATGTCTCCCAGGAGCTTCCTCCCAGGTTCACTGTCAGACACTGTCAGAGCCAGGACTCCTCTTGCCAAGACTGGAGGCCCTACCATGGCCCAGAGGGGGTGAGGTGGGAAAGAGGGTAACCACACACCCGTGCCTGCTCTCACACCAGAGGAGGGGGCAGAGACTTCCTGCTGCTCCTCATCCCATGTGCCCAGACACTTAGGATCCCACCAGCAGCTTGGCCACGTGGCTGGGCCATTAAGGAGAAACACAAGACACAGAACCACAGGATCACAGAGCCAGGAGCCAGGGCAGGGAGGTGGCCCTTGGCCCTCGCCAGCCCAAAGTGGGCGGGCAGCCTCGGCACCCTTACCTCGCACACTGCCCTGAGCCCGTGTCAGACCCCAGCCCGCCTGGCAGATCCTTGGAAGCATGGTGCCCCCAGAGTGCCTGCCCGCAGCCTGGCATCCCCAGGCCACCGTGGCAGATGGCACGTCAATGATTCTGCCCCGGTGTCCTGTCCACAGGGCTACATATCACATCTCTGGCCTGGGCCCCAGCAGAGGCCAGGCCAGGCAAGTGGCAGGCCCCTGGTGTATGTTGAGGGATAGGCCTGGTCCACGGCCTTGTTACTCTGGGCCTTGAGATCGTTCCCTGAGATTGGAGTTCTGACTCTGCCCTGAAGCCCAATCCCATGCACAGGTCCTGAGCAGAGGCGCCCAGTGATGGAGGGTGACCCTTCACAAGTCCTAGGTGTCCTCACCCCGTTCCCTGGAGGGTTTGGCCTTACCACCACTACTGACCCCCCTGGACCCTGTCTGATCCTCTATGTATCCCTGACACAAACCCCTAGGAAGCAATGGGCGCTGGCTACTTGCTGGGTCTTGGGCTCACTTGGCCTGGTCTCCCCTAGAGGTGCCTGGGGAGAATGCTAGCTAGACAGGCTGAGCCCAGGCCCTGAGAGAGATGGGGCATGGAAGAGTACGGAGCCTGAGCCTGAAATCCTGCCCACGTGCCTCTGACGTCAGCTGGGGACACAAAGGAAATCCCTCCAAGGTCAGAGGACTCTGAGATGACTAAGAGACCCTGGCGAGGTGAGAGGGGTGTAGGCAGAGCCAAGAGAATTCTGAAAGTGAGAAAAGCTCCAGGATCAGCAAGATGGGGTGAGGATCAGGGCCCAGATGGGGGGCGGGGGGACTGGCCTATGGCAACATTCTCCTGATTCCACTTTGAGTCCCTGCACACAGCCATTCCAGGTTAGGCCTCTCGAGGTTAGGTCATCTGGCCTGGCTCACCCTGGTGGCTTCGCAAACCTCTGACCCCTATCTCTGGCCTGCAGACCCCACCCCAGAAGCAACAGTCTCCAGTGAAGCAAGGGCACCTTGGAAGGATGGTCTGAACGGAGGAGACAGACCTCATGCCGGGGGCTCAGGGCCAGCGCATGCAGCAGCCTGCTTACCTAAGCCTAGAGGCCCAGCCCTCAGCAGAGCATGTCACTTGTCACACGCTCCCCAGGGTTTTGTTCCTTCCCACGCTATTCACGGAGGCCGCCAGGCTGCAGAAGGGGCTGCCCAGTTGGCCCTGTTGCTCTTGGCTCCGCTATAGCAGTCAGCCAGGAAGGGAGGGAAGGCAGGCAGGGGGAGGCATGTGAGGTAAGGGCTAAAAATAAACACCTGACCTGGCTGCTGGAGGCCCTTCCCCAGCTCTCTGGAGGTTGGGGGGTGGGGAGAAGGTTACAGAGCGCTGGGGCCTGGAGGGGCAGAGCCTGAGGAGCCCTGGCCCCAGACCTAAGTCTTCTGGGGAATGGGGATGGGGTGGGAGGCAGGCCATGGGGAGGCTCTGTGCCTGGGGGTTGGAATAGAGGTCCTGATTTCTTTAAAATTCCCTCAGCTCTGATCTCTGCCCAGTATAGCAGGCCCACCCCGCTCCACCCCTGCTTATTCATTCCATTATTCTACTCCTTCATTTGTTCATTCATGCTCCCCTTTAGGGTTTATTCCCTTATTCATTCATTCACTCTCCCCTTAAGGGTTTATTCCCTCATTCATTCATTCACTTGCACACCCTCTCCTACACTCTTCTGTCCCAGCCCCAGCCTCCAGGGAGCTGCTGCCTGTTTCCCCTTTGCCTGTCCCCCTTGGCAAGTGGGCAGGGGATGATCTGGGACCTGGGAATGGACAGTGGGAGGCTTGATGGCCATTTCTGCCTTATCTCCCTCTGTCCAGTTCCTTTCTGGGGGCAGGAAGGTCGCAATGCCCCAGGGCAATCACCACCTCATGGTGGGAGGTGGGGTCAGGGTGAGGAAGGGGAAGCGAGTTGTCCGAGAGTTGGTGGAATACCCCACAGGCAGACGAGCCCAGCTGCCTTCCAGGACCACTGACTGGCTACTGTGCCTCAAGGGCCAAGGTTGCCGGGTGAGGCTGCAGTGGACGTTGGGCATCCTCCTTGCACTGCCTGCCATGGTCTGAATGACCCCGCAGAACACAATCTCTGTGTATATGGAGCTGGCCTGTGTCAATCTGATTACAGTGACACCAGGCTGACCAACACCCCATGGCCGGCTGCTGGGCCCAACATATCCCCATCCCCAGCTTCACTGTCAGACAACAGGCAGCAGATGAGAAATCCAGAGAAGGGATGTCCTGACTTAAAGAGCCCGAGACTCAGCCATTGGACTTCGGGCATGACCGTCACTGGGGCTACTGTTCTCCTGATGCTGCGACCCCGTCCCTCCCCGTCCCTGGACATGCTTAAGCTTCTCCTTTCTGGGCCTCTCCTCCAAGAAGAGGAATCCTCCCTGATATCCCCAACATGCACCTTTCTGGCGGGGCTGTGCTCTCCTCATGCTCTAGTACCAAATGTGTCCGTTCCCCATGGGGCATCCCTCATGAGACCAGGGTCTTGCACTGGTCACAGGGTTGATTGACACCCAGATAGTTGGGGGCCGGTAGGGACTCTTTCTTCCTCGCACGGAGACTCTCTGTTAGGACACCGGTTCCAATCTCCCGGCTGTGTGCTGGACCTTACCTAAGTACCTGAAGTATAGCATCTCAGCTGGTTCTCCCAAAAACCTCCATTCCACATGGAGGAGACAGGGCTCCCTGAGATCATGATCCCCGGAGGCAGCTGCTGGCCTCAGCCTCTGCCTCAGATAAGCCCAGGCCAGCCCCGCATATCACAGGCACCAGGCCCTTTGCCCAAGGAGGCCCGACTTCTCAAGGGTATGGCTGGTATTTTGGCAATTATAATAAGATCAGAAACTGGTGATGTTACTATAACATTTCCAATTCCACTAATTTCTTCACAAACTCTATTTTTAACTAAAAGCCAATTAAAAATTAAGTCAGAGGGTACTATTATCCTTCAGAAAGATAAGTAGGTAAAAAATTTGGAATCAACAGCTCTTAATTATGAAATGACTCACTAAATAGCACTATGGTTATTATTTTTTTCCAGAGGAAATTTCAGAGGGAAAAGGGATCTAGCTCTACTACTTCCTTCATTGTATGCTCTGGACTCCCTATCTAGAAAGAAGGTAAAAGGTTTTACAGCTCCGAGATGTTGAGGAAAATTCCCAACCCAACAGCCCAGACAGTTGGCTCTGGTCTCGGGTGGAGCCACAGCAGGTCTAACAGACAAGTGGGGAGCTAGCAGTGGGGCCTCCCTGGTCTATCCCTCCCTCAAGCCCCCAGCCTACACAGACAGGGGTCCCTCTGCCTCACACTAGGCCCAGAGACAGCACAGTCATCCCGGGCCTGGCGGGCTGGCATTCATTAGCTAGGTGTGGGAGAGACAGCCAGAGCAGACCTACCCCTACCTGCTGGCCCTGCCACCTCACTCCCAAGGCACGATGTGTCTAGGACACCTGCTGAGAAATCAGGAGCCTCTCACCAAAACACGCAAGTAGGTCACAGGGAAGCACACAATTGCTCTGAATATCCAGTGGCCATTTGCCGAGGTGAGATCAAAAACGGCCCGTGGCCTGGTTACAGTGAAGAAAAGCAGCAATGGTGGTGGGAACCACAGGAGGGAGGCATCGTGACTGCCCACCCACACCTTCCCCAGGACCCCCCTGGAGATAGCAGCATTAACAAGCAGAGCCATGGGGCACCTGGGTGGCTCAGTCGGTTAAGTATCTGACTCTTAGTCTCAGCTCAGGTCACGATCTCAGGGTTGTGAGTTCAAGCCCCGCATTGGGCTCCACGATGGGCATGGAGGCTACTAAGCAAAAAAAAAAAAAAAGAAAGAAAGAAAGAAAGAAAATGAAGCAGAGCCGTGAGGAGAAAGGAGCCGGAGAAGCTGGGCTACCCTGACTACTATTAGGAGCAAGAGGCAAGGAAGCAGCGGCCTCAGGGTGGGGAGAAGCTAGGACCAGGACACCCAGCAGCTCTGTGGTCAGGCCCATGGAACCCATCAGATCCTGCGATGGCAAGGCTGGTTCTGGCCAAGGAGGTGGCAGTGGCACAGGACATGGAGACAGCAGGACACCTGGGACAATTTTCTTCAACATCTCAGAGCTGTAACACCTTTTACCTTCTTCTTTCTAGACAGGGAGTCCAGAGCATACAATGAAGGAAGCAGTAGAACTAGATCCCATTTCCCTTGGAAATTTCCTCTGAAAAAACAACCTGAGGAGGGGGCGATGTCGGCTATCAAGAAGCAGAAGCTCCGGAGTCCAGGAAGGTGACACCCAAGCAGCTAGTGAGAGGCTCGGATCAGAAGCCAGATGCTCATCCAGAGTCAGCATGTGACTGAGACATGTTTGGGCAGAATCAGCGCTTTCACTGGCCTGGCCCAGGGGCTGCTGAAAGGAGCTGTCAGGAACGTTTACACTCCTGGGCAGAGACCGTTTTCCCCTTTCCTCTGTGCATGTCCTGCTGAATGAGGACATGTGGGCCAGGAGGTCTCTCCAGGACAAGGGGCCCCCGGGCTGGGCCAGCTCAGCCATCCAACAGGGCTCACAGTCCCTTAGTGTCAGGGCGTCCCACTCAAGTGGCAGTGAGTGTTACCGGGCAGTCTCTGGACGGGAGCTCCTCTGGCTCTGTGGTGGCCCCTTGGTGCCCCCTCCCCACCCCAGCCAGCCAGGCCAGCTGTCCTCCAGTGAGCCACTGGATCTAGGGATTAAGAGGTGGCAGTATGGGGCCTAGAGGGCCACATGGTCATCATCTGAGGAGGTCACTTGTCTTCATTAGAGCTGCCTCTTTCTGCGTGTTGGAAAAGCAGAGTCGGACAGCCAAAGCCGTCTCCCTTATCACAATGGGCTGCTCCAATGGAGGCCTGACCCAAGGCAAGTCAGAACAAGGTGCCAAGGCTCCCCTGCCCCACCACTGACCACGCATGGCTCAGCCTAGGAGCCCCAAGGGTGGCTGCCCATGTGCAGGAGGAAGGGCTTTGGCTTGACCATCTCCTGATGTGACACAGCTGGGGATGCATCCGCCTGTCAAGATGAGCCAATCGCTCCTCTTGCCCCTTAGGATCCTCCATGGAACGGGACACACAAGTTATGACCAAGGCAGGCAAGGTAGGGTTGACATAGATGGCCCTGGGCAGGGCAGAGTTAGTAAGGGGAGGTGCAGAAGCAGCCTCCAGGTCCGGGCTGATCCAGCTCTGCCCAGGAACCTCTGTACCTTCTGAGCCTGCCAGGCTGGGCTCGAAGCTTTGAGAGAACACTGGGCCTCCTGTTCGTTTCCACCCAGCTCTGCACAGTGCTCAGAACCCTTCCCGGGACCAAGGACGCAGAGACAGGCCCCAACCCCAGAACTCCCTCAAACTTCCCTATGGGTAAGAAGAACATCTCTGAGCATCCCCACAAGCAGCCCCAGGGAGAACCAGGCCCAGCCAAAGGAAACTATGTGGCCCAAAGACTATGGCTTTGACAAGCGGGCATCAATATCTGTAACCTCAGAGGACGGGATGGAGGGAGGATCCTCCCTGGTGGGCTGGAGCCCAGGCAATGGGGCACAGCCTTCTGCCTAACAACCCTTCAGTGCCCTGTGTGGCTCAGACTGAGGGCAGGACAGGACCTCAGGCTCTTCCTACCCGAGCAGGGGAGATTAGCATCTTTCATGAGGCCAGGCCCAGGAGAGCTGGGAATGGGGCGGCCAGTTCAGGCTTCCCAAGCCTGGCGACCTCTGGGACTGGCCCCGGGGCACCAGTCAGCCAGTCAGAGGCAGTGGGCACCGTTCCGCCTTCCGCTGTGCCAGTCAGTTTTCTGAGTGGAACAAGCACGGGGCAGGGACAGGAAAGGGAGCACACCCCCCTGCAGCCGTGGCGGGGCAGCCTGGCGACAGCTGAAGACCCGGCTCTCTGCAGCCCTTTCTGGCTCCCAGGCCTCCCGGGAGGGCCCATTACTCCAGGTGCTGGCCCCTCGCCAAGGCCCAAGGGAACACGCTTGGTCCAGCTCTCTTACCTCTACCAGGTGGGGCGTGGGGTTGAAGCCACACAGGTTGCACACCTGGAGCTTGCAGGTGGTACAGGTGTTGTAGTTGGCGGGACCCTTGCTGTCCACATTGAGCTCAGCTTGGCACAGTGGGCAGGTGGCCCTTTCCTTCGGCATGGTCTTTGGCTTGGCAGTGGCCTTGGTGGCGGCCTGGTGTTCCGCTCTGCCATGCTTTGGACTGGTGGTTCCCCCAGTTCTTGCCGGGGCTCCAGGTCCCAGTCCAGGACCTGTTCTAGCTCCAGGCTCGGTTTTGGCTCCAGGTGCCGGCCCAGGCCCAGGCCCTGAGCCTGGGGGTCTCGGGCCAGCTTCCTTGCTGGCATCACTGAAGACGATCTTAGGTGGCCCTTTGCTGGGGGCAGCCTGGCCCTGGGGCTCAGCCTCAGGCTGCACAGACATGAGGGTACTCGCCTGGGTCAGCAGGGATGCACCAAGGCCAAAGAGCTTCCCGGTGAGGCCCTCCTGGGTCTGCTCAGCAGCACCAGGCCCCGAGGGCACCGTGGTAGCACTTTTGGCCAGGGCCTCTCCTGCAGGTGGCCTGGGCTCCGCTGTGGAAGGCTTGACAGGGAGAAGGGGCTGAGGAGACGCTCTCCCCATCTCCGGAGGGGCAGCTGCTTGGGCAGGCCCCGGCACTGTGGTGGCCCTGGCTGTCTCAGCCTGGCAGGGGCCGGGCTGTGGTGCCCCTGGGCCCTGCGATCTCTCTGGCTCCGGCTTCCCCAGGGGCTGTTTGGCTGGGGACTGGGCAGGAGACAGGGCTGGGGAGTGCAGCTGCTGCTGGCTCTTGGAGCGAGGCGCGGTGGTCATGTCCATCCCCAGAGCCCTCTGCATCTGGCAGTTCAGACAGAGCCACTCCTTCACCTGAGGAGGAAGCATCATGGTCATCAGGGTCGTCAGGACTGGTGGTGCCCATAGCTCAGGTCACCGTGGGCCCCACGGCAGCCAGGGTCAGCTCCAAGCATAGGCAGGAGCAACAAGGCCTGCTCAGGGGTTTCTGGGTCGCCAGGGGACAGAGCTGAAGGGACCGATGGCACGGCCCCCACCCCTGGGAGCTGCCAGGTGCGTGGAGCAGAACAGGGGTAGTCACACACTCCCCACGCCCCAAGAACCAATCCGCTGCCTGCCGGACCCTTCTGCGCAGGTGTCCTCCCCGCTGCCCGCCGGCTGTACCTCTGATCCGTGTACATCATTCCATCCCCATGCCCCCCCCACCAATGACCCACAAAGCCTCCAACTGGTCACTCTCCTCCCCCTGCTGCCCCCTTTGGGCCATTTCTACACGGCAGCCAGCTTGATCTTTTAAAACATAAACCAAGACAAAAAGGATGGCCTTGGTACAGTGCCTGGGATGCAATAGATGTTCCGTTAAAAACGTGCAGAAGGAATAAATAAATGAAGAGTAACAGGAGGGAGAGGGAGGCATAGAAAATAAAAAGAAACCATGACCCCTGTCCTGGAGGAGCCTGGAGCCTAGCTGAGGACACAAGATGGATGTGAACAATCTGGAAAGCAAAGTAATGCCATGTCAGTGGTGATGTAAGTAGAATGAAAAAGACTTTTTTTTTTTTTCCTTAAGCAAAAGATGCATTTTTTAAGAAAATGGGATAATCTGTGCCTCTAGAACAAACAAGCACTTGTCGCTATTCCTGCGATGGACACGGAGTTTCCTCTCTGCATCAACGCCTCCCTGAGTAAAGTGAGTGTGAGACTCGGGTTGGGCCAATCACTGGTTTCAGCAAGGGCTGCGGGGCTGGGCGTGTGACCTTGCAAACAGGGCTGACCCATGTTACTTGTAAATGAACAACAGGGGAGAGAGGGTCTTTTTGCCTTTGGGATTGCTCCTAGAAGAATGTAGTGGTGGGGTGGTCAATTGCCTTCTTTCCCAGCATCCAGAGAGATGCTAAGGATGACATCAATAGACTCAGAAGTGGAGCCAAGGTAAGGAGAAAGGAGCAGATCCGATGACTTTGTTTAATTCCCTGGATTCAGCTACGCCTTAAGTCTACCCCTGGCCTTCCAGTTACATGAGCCAATGATATTTGTTTCCACCAAAAAACCTACATACAGATCAGAGCATGTCACTTACAGGCTCAAATCCCTTGGTGGAGTCCCATCATGCATACCATGGGAACTCACCATGGCCCATGCCCAGCCCATCCCTCTCTCTGGCCTCCTTCCCAGCCATCCCCCCTTAGCGGTCTCAGCCCAGGTACACTGGGCCTCCTGTTCTGCGCAGTAGTCCTCTGAGCTCACAGTTTTCTCTGCCCCTGGGCTGGCCAGCTGTACGGGCCTTAGATCTCCCCATCAGGGCCCTCTCTGGCCACACAATCTAACGTACCGCCCAGGCACGCTGTAGCTAATCACCTAGTTTATTTTCGTCACAGTGCTCATTCTTTCCCGAAGTATTTGCCAATATGTTTCTCTGGGTAGTCTCCTGTCCCCCCACCCAGCTCGTGAGCTCTTGTTGAGGGGTTCTCAGGACTGTGCAGGCTGTGTCGCACGCCACGGGGCACAGAGCAGGGCCCATTCCAGAGAGGCTTGCAGTGGGATTAATCCCAACAGCCTATTAATAGGGGGCACAGTTCCCATAAGGCCAAAGCCATGAGATTGGAGATTCAGTGCCCCAGTGAGGAGGCTCCTCCTTTTCAACCAGACCTGTCTGCACTTGGACAGAGAAAGCCTCCCAGGAAACAATTTGCACCCCTGGGACTCAGTCCAAAGATCCCTTTAGAAAGGTCCCTCTTGGCTAGGGAGGGCTCACTCCCATAAGAGCAGGAGCTCCCAGGGGCAAGCTGTTTCTGCTCACCCTCAGAGGGAGCCCTGGAGGGGAGGCCCAGGCCCTGGCCCAGGCAGTAGCCACAGATTCAGTTCCTGGAGCGGGTGCCCAGGCACACCCCAAGGCTCCCTTGCTATCGTGTACCTGCAGGCCACAGCACGCTCTAGGACCTTCTGAGAAGACGGATCCGTGAAGTAAAGCTCCTTATCCTGGGACTTCAGAGTGACCCTCCTTCAGGTTCTGGACAGGGTTGAATAAGGGCATGTGCTAAAACTCTTGCACTCACCACCAGAACCTTCTCTTACCCAGCCTCCGTCACCCAGGCTGTCACAGGCACTCACCTAAAATAGAACCTCTCCAAGAAACTGCTAAAACGCCCCTCGGTGACTCATAGCCCAGATGGGCACAGCTATTTCTATCCAGCCTCTTCTAGACGGTGAGGAGCCTTGACCACGCCCTCTTTGTGCCCCACCCAGGCTCAGGCCCAGGCCGACAGGCCCCGCCACTAAGGCCTCCCAGGGAGGACACCGGAAGGGGCGCTCTCTGAACCCAGCAAGACTTCCCTCAGCCTCCCTCACAGATCGTCAGGAGCTGGATCTGAGGAGCTCAGCCTCAGCCTCTTCCTCCCCGCACCCCCAGCCCACTTGCCCACCTAGGCTGGGCATACATGGCCAGGCCTGTGGCAGACTCCTCAGGCCTGGGACCAGCGGCAGTGAGAGCCTTCCTCATCTGTACCAGTGTCTGTGACTCCTTGGTACCCTCCAATCCAGCTGCCCACCAGAATCACAGGGAATGGCCTTCTACTAGTGTGACAGGAAATCTCTCTTAGAGTCCTCCATGATCCTGACCTGGCAGAGCCAGGAGATGAGCAGGCCATCAGCCACAGAACTCGTGTCCCAAGAGCCAGAGGTAAGCTAAGAGGACTTCCCAGGGCTACACTGAGGTGAATAGCTCTGCCAGACACTAGCTCTTGTCAGGCTGACCCTTCTTGCCAGCAAGGAAGCCCATCCTGGCCTCTCAGAGGCGTGGACACCTGCGCACCCCAACCCGGTGGGGGCCTGAGCAGCAGTAGGGATGGGAAGGCTCAGTGTGGTGTGCAGGCCAAGAGCCGCGTTGGAAGTGGGAGAAGCAGAAGCTGTAGGAAAGTGGCTTCCCACAGAGAGCCTCTGCCTGCCCTGCCAGGAGCCTGCTGGGGATTCAGAAAGGCAGGGCCTCGTGGGCTCTGGCTCTGAAGGGACTTTCATCCCGAGAAGAGCCTTTCTTGGCTGCTCCCTCACTTGAGCTGTTCAGTGTATGGAAGGTCAGCTAGGGTAGCACTGCCCGCCTGTGGACCAGGCTGGGGGCTCTGAGAACCACACGTTGAAGGAACAGCCAGCCATGATCTATCTGCAGTGACCACTCCCCACTGCCCCCCGCACTGGGCTCTGGGGCAGAGAGGGGAGTGGGGGCACTGTGGGGGAGGGGCTTCTACATCTCTCCCACAGGGACACTGGTGGCACTGAGACCTGCCACCCTGTGTCCCAGCCCCAAAGGCAGGGGCCCAGACTTGCTTGCCATATCTAGCCCGAAAGGATGCTGCCCAGGAAACATGCTTCCGCTCCCGAGATGGAGCCTGCCGCACGGTCACCTCCGAGGCTGCCAGCAGGTCCTGAGGGCCCCCAGCAGCAACAGAGTCTCTTTCCACTCTCCCCTCCTGCCTCCCCACCAGCAAGGAAGAAGGAGGGTCACAGACATCCCTTAGCCTGCCTTCCTGCAGAGAGCGGCGGCTTGCCTCTGAGGCCTAGCCCTCCCCAGGAGAGAGGGCATTCGGTGGTCGGATCACTGCACTGACATGCCTGATGCTGCATCCGTGCTTTTTTCCATTTTGGTACAAGTTCAAACATCACAGAAACAGCTTAAAAACAAGGCTTCCCTGTTGGTTCCTGGGAGGGTCCCACCGGCCAGTGTGGCTTTCCATTCTCTTCTGCACTGTGAGTCACTGGCCAGGCCTCAACAGAGGGCACATGTCCCACTGTGGCCCCTGGACCAATGATGGTCCGGAGCAGGGAATCGGGGCTGGCCTTCCCCCTTACTCTCCCCCCAGCACTGGACACACCACCTGCCCCATCCAGTACCTGGCTGCCCACAGGCTTAGGGGCAGGCAGGTGCCACAGGGCCCCAAAGGGTGGGGCACATTAATGCAGAGCTGGATGAATGAATCGGCCAGGCATGGCCCATCGGGGAGGCCCTGGGAAACTGCCCAGCATGTGAGGCCAGGATTTGGGAAGTGGAGGCTGAATTTAATTGTTGCTGGGGGCTTGAAGGCCTCACTGGCCTGGAGCTCCATGAAACGGAAAGAACCCATCCTCCTGCTGATTCCTACAAACACCTGCCTTTCCACCTCTGGTGTCCAACTCTTCCCAGCTTCCCCTAGATGGCCTCCCCTCCCTTCCAGGCCTTCCTCTGTGCCCTGTAAAACATCCTTTTCTGACCAAGCCAGCTCCCCAAACTCCATACACACACACACACACACACACACACACACACACACACACTCTTCTTGGTCCCCCATCGACCTCTCCAGGAGAAACTGTCCTCCCTGGACTTCAGAATGTGGTAACCACTCACCCTCCCTTTAAAATCCCTGGGACCCCTGGGGCTTAGCCCTTGGCTTCCCCACCCTTCTCCCCTCCTAGCTGCTGTTGCCTTCCAGGCCCCACCATCAGGGCCACTAGTTCCCAAACGCCCTGTGGTCGGTGTCTCCCAGGTTTCCACTGAACTGACGTGACAGTCACTGCAGATGGCAGCCACTGGGCTGACTCAGCCAACAGCGCTATCCCTCAGTCTCACCCTCCACTCACTATCACCCCAAACCATCTCCTCCAAAATCACCCTGTGCTGTCCTCCTCCAGCCTTCTAGGTCACTTCAGGCCTCCCCACTGTAGCAGTCCTTGGGCCTCGTGTGGACCCCACCCGCCGAGCCTCTGCCTTCACATCTCTTCCTGTCCAGCTGAATCTATGGTCTATCATGCAGTCACTCTGCCAAATGTCTGTGCTCTCTTGACCTATGTCTGCTTCAGAACTAGATCCAACCACACACCTGTTT